TCTGTCATAGCCTATGCTGCCTGCTGTCACCTGGACTCAGAAGACAGGCCCCTCGCTGGCACCATTGTCTACTGTGCCCAACATCTCACCAGCCCCAGCCTCAGCCACAGTGACATCGTCATGGTGACTGCTGCATGATGACTAGGGGAAGCAAACAGGTTGCGGGATAGGGGGGCCAGGTTACTCAGCTTCTCATAAAGTGGAAGAACCCACAGAGTATGGAATAGAAGGTGCCTCAAGCTCTTGGAAGAGCTGATTGGGCAGAGGGGTTATAGAGTGTTTGGTCAATCCTGCTGCAAATGTGGCCCCCTTACTGGGTAGTCATTTGTCCTTAGGTCACAATACACGAATTGCTCCATGCCCTGGGTTTCTCTGGACAGCTCTTCAAGAAATGGCGAGACTGCCCCTCAGGATTCAGTGGTAAATGAGAGGAATGAGGTTGAGGACTTCCCACAATCAACCAGCGGGAATTCACTAATCTATAACCTCCTTCCTTCCAATTTTGCTTCACCCTTCCTCGTTTTCTTCTCCTCATATTGCCTTCTTCCCTTTCTGCACTCAGTTAGAGAGAACTGTTCTACAAGGCAACAAGTGACAAGGCAAGATGAATGGGGACAACTGCTTCTCACCACCCCAGCTGCTAGCCTCAGCTTGGCCAAACACCTGGGAGTGCCGGGGGCTTCACTGGGTGTTCCCTTGGAAGAAGAGGTGAGAATAAGAACACCTTGGGGTGACAGAAGAAAGGAGTAGCCAGATAACAACCAGCTATCTGCCACCTTGTCCAGGAGGGCCCTTTGTCCTCACACTGGGAGGCCAGACTACTCCAGGGTTCTTTAATGACTGCTACCTTTGATGGAGCTCAGCGCACTCGACTCGACCCAATCACCCTTGCTGCCTTCGAAGACTCAGGCTGGTACCAGGTCAACCACACCGCTGCAGAGGAGCTGTTGTGGGGCCAGGGTGAGAAGTAAGGGAAACATGTAGAGGGGCACTCATGACCCAAGTCAGCTCTGGGAGAAGTGGGAGGGCTGAAGGGGTGTCTGCTGCTGAGGTATAATTGAAGCTATGAGCATAGCTGATGCTAAAAGATGTTGAGGGCTTTCTTTCCTTCCCCTCTCATCTCTCAAGCAGGATCTGGCCTGGAATTTGGATTGGTGACCACATGTAGGACTGGCTCCTCAGACTTCTTCTGTACTGGCAGGTGTGCGTGCTGAGTGGTTAGGGGACTGTATGGCTGTCAGTGATCCTAGTGTCACTATATCATCCCCTTCCACACAGTGGACTGGGCTGCCACTACCTGCACCTGGACAAGGGAAGCTGCTCCTCAGACCCCATGATGGAAGGCTGCCGCATGTACAAGCCCTTAGCCAATGGGGTGAGTAGACAAGAGAGCAGACAATGGAAATGAGTGGGTCTGGAAGGCAGTCAACTTCAAAGGCATCAGAACAAACACTGTTTTACCTTCTGACCTGCCCTTCAGAGTGAATGCTGGAAGAAGGAAAATGGATTCCCTGCTGGGGTGGAGAATCCCCATGGGGAGATCTACCATCCCCAGAGCCGTTGCTTCTTTGCCAACCTCACTTCACAGCTGCTCCCTGGGAATAAGACCAGGCATCCTTCTCTTATTCCACACCTCAAGGAAGCAGAGCTCACTGGACGCTGCTACTTACATCAATGCACAGGGAGGGGAGCTTACAAGGTGCAGGCGGAGGGCTCACCTTGGGTCCCATGCCTTCCAGGAAAAGTTATTCAGGTGGGTACCTGAATAAAAGGAATAAAAGGAATAGTTGTGGCATACTGGCAAAAAGAAGTTGGGAAATACTTGTATGGTGGTATTGTCCAACCTGTTTTGATGTTTCTCCTAAGTACCCACTGAGTCCATGACTCTGATCTATAATATACATTTTCCTTAGAAGGAAGACTTGAGCAGATAACCAAGGCAAAACTATATCCTGCTACATATTTCTTTGCAGATACCTGGGTACTATGGTCTTCTCTTCTGTCCCCGGGGTCGGTTGTGTAACACTAACGAAGATATCAAGCCTGTTCCTTCCCTACCTGTGAGTCTTTCAACCCCAGATCCGCTATTCCAGCTCTCTTTAGAATTAGCTGGGCCTCCAGGCCACTCCCTGGGGAAGGAACAGCAAGAAGAGCTGGCTGAAGCAGTACTGCAGGCTGTGGCAAGCAGAGGTGGCACTGGCAGGTAAAAGCTTGAGTACTTATACAATGGGCCAAGGAGAATCCCTAAGTCCTTTACTTTATAACTCTCCTCTGAAGACTTTCTGTTCATCCCATTCTTAAGCCTGCGCCTGTTTCATGAGATATACTCTACCAGGAACTATACCTCTATTAAAAGATCCAAATGTCCATTTAGGTGCTATTTCCACAGCCCATCAGTTACCACTAGCTTGGTGTTTACTGTACATATGTGGAAGTCCCCTGGCTGCCAAGGGCCTTCAGTTGCCATGCTGCACAGGGCCCTGACTCTGACTCTCCAGAAACAACCCCTAGAAGTGTATTATGGCGGAGCCAACTTCACCACAGAACCCAGCAAGTAAGATAATATTCCAAATATTTTTCTTTCAAATCCATGGAGTCCAGATGTTTGAAATTAATTAAGCACTTGCTCATGTATATTGTCCTAGACAGAGTTATGTGTTTTAGAGAACAAAGATCCCTAACTAACATGATCACTACCTGACTCCTGCCTCCCGTACAACACTTCTCCCATCTCTAGGACATAGGGATCTTAGTGTCCCCCCTTTTTTTGAGATAGGGTCTTGCTCTGTCACCCAGGCTGGAATGCAGTGGGGTGATCTCAGCTCACTGTGGCCTCGACCTCCCTAGGCTCAAGTGATTCCCCCACATCAGCCTCCTGAGTAGCTGGTACTACAGGTGCACACCACCATGCCCAGCTAATTTTTGTATTTTTTTTTGTAGAGACAAGGTTTTGCCATGTTGCCCAGGCTTGTCTCGGACCCCTGAGCTAAAGCAATCTACCCGCCTCTGCCTCCCAAAGTGCTGGGATTTCAGGTATGAGCCACTGCCACTGCTCCCAGCTCCCTTCCTTTCTTTTTTTT